GGGAGCCCCCCGCCCCCGGACGGAACCCGCGCTCCCTGCTCGCCTCCGGGAGCGCGTCTGGACGTCAGTACAGAAACGCTCGACGCTTGAGATGTGCTCATTCCCAGGTTACCTGACACGCACAGCCCCGGCGTAAAACACCGAAGGGGCGTGGGGGCGCCGCCCACGCGAGAAACCCTTCGAGGTGCATTGGTCAGCGCCGCGCCCGCGGCCCCTTCCCGCACCTGCCGCGTGACGCCGCCTGGATCCGGCTGTTCCGAAGCTGCGCCGTTGACCAACTCCCTACAAGCCAAGTGCTTCCCCACGCTCTGCAAGCTCTCCTGGCACACGGCTGAGCTTCACGAGGGGTCCTGGGAAGCCCTGAAGGACAGCTGGTCGGTCAGGACTGGAGGCGCAGACTTGCAGCTGGCCTCTGAGACGGGGGCAGTGTTGAGCCGAGTCCTTCTGATGAGGGACAGGATGCTAGGCAGACAGGGCCAGAACTGCCGCCTTCGTGTTTACTGCAGTGGGAGGAAAACACCCACGTTCTGGTGAACCTTAGTTTTCTGCGCTATGTGAGAGTAGGAAAACCTGTTTTTCCTACCTCATAGACAGTAGGTTAAACAAAGGACTCGGACCTAGGTCTGAATTTAAAGTGCATGCTCTTTGTATGTGCTTCCTACTAAAATCTTCATACAATCCCCAAATAGTCAATTATGTTCAGCTTTTCTTAAACTAACACACAAGTTAGTGTGGTCACAAGTACCAAAAAGAGGAAGACCATTTTATGGCTACTTTCCCTCTTTGTGGCCCTGGCGGCTGAACCCTGGGCCCTGTGCGTGCTGGTGAGGTGCTCTGCTACTGAGCTTCCTCCGGCCCCACAGCCATGTTCCCTGTTCAGACAGCTAATTCCAACATGAGCAGTGGGACAACCGAGAAAATAATGCGACTGCATAATCTGCTACTGACTACAGGGTAACATTATTCACTTTAAATAAATACTGTGCTGTAGAACCGTCCAGCACTATCATCTGGATGTGCAGTACGCAAGGGAGACGGACAGCCAGAGCAGTGTGCTTTGTTAGAGCAAACCACTCAAAATCAGAGAATCGTTAGCACTCCGCACCAGACACACACTCTGGAGTAAACACACTTACACGAGGAAGGAGGAGAACAGGTAAGAGCTTGACGGAGGAGCAACTTAGCACAAGCAAGAGCTTCTGCAGATTAACGGTGAAGAAAATTCACATGTGAGGCTCTACCTTGTGCCATTTTCTAGTTTAATGCCTGGCAGACAGCAGCTGTTATATAAAAATTTGCTGAAAGGATTTTAGGCATTAGAATTTACACACTTTACACGGTCTCTCATTTAAATTAACACCAATTTCTTGGTTATCTTTACTTCATTAGCTAGTTATATACACTATAATTTACATAAATTTAAAAATCTTTCACTCAGTACAACGACAACATTCAGAGGGGCTAGACCCATTAATTTGCTTGGATGAGATTTATTTTGAAATCACATTATCCAAGCAAAGACAGAACACGGTTTATATGACACATACAAAGAAAGAAAAAAGTAAATGTCTATCTTAGAAGTTTATCAATAACCTCTTATATACACATATACATTCAGAGTGGTTGAGAATCCTTTTATACAGTCCTTCAGTGAGGTCCAGGCGGTGAACTCTAATAAGACACAGGGTCAGAAAGAATCATGACTTGCAATCATCTTTTTTTCCCTTCAACTTTAATATCCTTCAGTTGGGGAGAGAAAGAAGTCCATTTTCATCTGCTGTATCTAAGATTTTACAGATCACTGGAGATTCCACCTAAACAACAACAAAACCATTAAAAAGTTGATAGATAGGCTGACCACTAATTCATTATTATTCTGTTGAAGAAATACATTTGCTACGTGTTGGCGTCCTTACTGGGGACTACACCTCCCTGCCCCTTTCCACGATTCAAGAACTTCATTTATCCTAAGATTTTGGAAAAGCCAGTCATGTTTGTGCTCATGTGAGAAAGATGGCTGTGGCAGTGCTTGGCATCCAGTGCAGTTTGCAAACCGAACTATCTGCAGGCAAAAGTGTTTGTGAGCTGAGGCAGCACCGCACTGGGACTGACCGCAGGGTCTGCAGATGGAGCTGCACCCCAGCCCTTTCATTCTGAGACAGGATCTCACTTACTTGCCCAGGCTGGGTTCACACTCACGATCGCCGCCTCAGCCTCCTGAGTGCTGCAATTACAGGTGTGCACCACCACACCCAGCTAAGATCTTGTCTCAAAATAAAAAACACAAAATGAGCTGGGAATGTAGCTCAGTGGTAAGAGTGCCCCTGGGTTTGATCCTCAGTATGAAAGTAAGAAACAAAGATTAAATGGAATTGCAAGAGGTAAAAAATGTATCACAGATGAAATGTTGGAGATGAAATGAATTCACTCAATGTACTGGACACAGGAGGGACACCTGTCTCAGTGACCCTGAGATACTTAGCAGAAATTACTCAAACTGAAGTAAAGGAAAAAAACAGACTAAGGAAGACTCTGAGATGAGGCAATTTCTTTTTGTCTTTTTGAGACAGGGTCTCACTAGGCAGTTCATGCTGGCCTTGAGCTCATTTTGTAGCCCAGGCGGTCTCGAACTCACAACGATCCTCCTGCCTCTGCCTCCCGAGGGCTGGGATTACAGGCGTGCGCCACCAGGCCTGGCTGGCAATTTTAAACTAACATGTTTAACTGGAGTCCCAGAAAATATAGGAGGTAAAAAATGGGATTAGAAGAAATGATTGAAAGGATAATGGAGCTGGGTGTGGTGGCGCAGGCCTGTAATCCTAGCACTTGGGAGGCTGAGGCAGGAGGATCACTGTGAGTTAGAAGACAGCTTATACTACACATTGATTTCAAGCCCAGACTGAACTACAAAGCAAGAACCCCATCTCAAGAAACCAGAACAAAAAGGCATAACCATCAGGTTTCTAGAGGAAAATACAAAAGAGTATCTTTATGACTTTGGGGTTACAAAAATTACTTAGGACACAAATAGCATTAATAAAAAAAGGGAAAAAAAGCTGATGAATTTAATCAAAAGTTTTGTACATTAAAAGACGTTTAAAAAATGAATAAGCAAAAAGATAAGTAAAACACAGACTATTAAAAAGTGCAATATAAATACAGAGTTTATGTCCAGAACATATCCGAACTCCTAGAAACAAGAAATAATCAAGAAACAACCAACCATGCCAACAACAACAACAACAACAAAAAA